TTTTGAGTTAAATTTGTGTAGATTAACATCCCTTCTAATCCCTGGCCTAGAACGATCCCTACTTGCTCATACTACAACTGTCTAAAAAGGGTTTAATTTGTGTATTTAGCAAAATTGCTAATCTTCCCCTTAGTTTCTGTTCATGTTTCTTTTGTGTTTCTGATTTTGTTTTGTTTTGTTTTCTTTGTTTTAGGTACTAGTTTATGACTCGAAGTTCTCAACTTGTTCGTGAGCATATATTAGAGTTTGACGACGATTTTGAACGAACTTTGAGAAGGAAGAGGAAGCAGCCAGAATTCAATCCACCTAGTTCTAGTTCCGAATCTGAAATTGAAGCTGAAATTGAGACAGATTAGAAAAGGGAACAAGACATGGTTGTGGACAATCAAACAATCAAGGAACTTTCAGCCTTGGGTTTGGACAATGCCGTTCATCTTTGCATTCAATACCCTACAGTAGCTCAAGGCAAGACCGATGAGTTTGAATTGAAGTCTAGTTTGCTGCATCACATTCCCAAATACCATGGGCTGTCCATGGAAGATCTGAACAAGCATTTGAAGGAATTTGAAGTAGTGTGCTCGAGCATGACACCAATCAAAGTGGATGGCAATATTCTGAAGATGAAAGCCTTTCCATTCTCTCTTATGGACAAGGCTAAAGATTGGCTCTATGAACTAGCACTTGGAACTGTTACTTCTTGGGAAACCATGAAGAAAGTATTCTTAGAGAAATTCTTCCCAACTTTAAGAGTCGTTCTTTTGAGGAAGAAAATTAATGGAATTCAATAAGGCCCGGAAGAATCATTTCCAGCGTACTATGAGCGTTTTAAGACGTTAGTTGCATCTTGCCCACAACATCAAATGAAGGAAGAGCTTTTAATTGAATATTTCTACGAAGGACTACTTCCAATTGAGAGACAAATGCTAGATGCCTCGGCAGATGGTGCTTTGGTTGAAAAAACACCAGTTGTTGCAATGATCTTAATAGTTAACTGAGCCTTAAATGCACAGCAATACGAAGGAGTTGGACAAAGAGACCCCCCACGACAGCATCAAGCTTATGAGGTAAGTGCTATTTCCGAACTTCAGTCTCAAATGGCTAATCTTTTTGTTCTTATCACAGGTTGTTGAAGGATCCAAAGGGTAAGGAACAAGTGCTTGTGGCATGTGCTCTATGCCAGGACATCTCAATGATCAATGTTCTCAGTTGATAGAGAATGGGGGATGGGAAAGTGCCAATGCCATAGGTTATCAAGGCCAAAATCAACCAAGGAATGACTCATTCTCCAACACCTACAATCCGAGCTGGATGGATCATCCAAATATGAAGTGGAGGGAACCTCAAACTCAACAACAAGGCGGATATAGACAGCCACCTCTAGGGCTCTTTCCAAGGCCATTCGCACCACCACAACCTCATCCATAATCTGCCCACCAAATTTAGGTTCATTAATGGATAACGATAAAATTCTTCAAGTACTAACTTCATTAACACAGGGCCTACAAAATCAAGCCAAGGAGATGGGCAAATTAAAAAATCAAATGGGGCAAATGGCGGAATTCATGGGACAGTTTAGAGAACAAGGCAAACTTCCTAGTTTAACCATTGTCAATCCAAAATGAGGTTTTGAAACAGCTAAAGCTATCACCCTGAGAAGTGGCAAAGAGGTTGGAACCAACCCACAAACGTCCAAACAAAGCCAAAAAAAGGACGAAAAGCTGTTGCTCGAGGAAGAAGAGGATGACAAAGCCACATTAAGGAAAAAACAACCTTTACCGCAGCCCCCTAAGAACCCTATGCCATCCAATGCAGGTAAAATTGGTTCAAATTCATACCCTTCTAACCCTATTCCACCAAATATACCCTTTCCTAGCAGGTTTATGCAATCAAAGAAAGAAGAGAGTGAAAAAGACATCTTAGAAACCTTCAAGAAAGTACAAGTCAATATCCCGCTTCTTGATGCTATAAAGCAAGTTCTGAAATATGCTAAGTTTTTGAAAGAGCTTTGTACAACAAGGAAACGGATCTCAAACAAGGAAGTGGTATGGGTAAGTGAGAATGTTTTAGTAGTTTTACAAAGAAAAGTGCCCCCTAAATGCAAGGATCCATGTAGTTTTACAATCCCTTGTATTATTGGCAATACCAAGTTTGAACATGCCATGTTAGATTTAGGTGCTTCTATTAATGTCGTGTCATACTCTATTTATGCATCTATGAACCTAAGAGAGCTTAAAAACGATGGTGTTATAATTCAATTAGCCGATCGTTCTAATGCATATCCGAAAGGAGTTTTGGAAGATATTTTGGTGCAGGTTAACCACTTGATATTTCCAGTAGACTTTGATGTGCTTGAGATGAAGGATTCGGCCCATTCTACACCATTGCCAATCTTACTTGGAAGACTTTTCATGAAAATAGCCCGAACCAAGATCGATGTGTTCAAGGGGACGTTGACAATGGAATTTGATAGCAATATCATTTATTTCAATATTTCCGAAGCTATAAGGTACCCTATTGATGATCATTCGTGTTTTTCTATTGATGTATTTGATGCTTTGGCGCATGATTATCTTGAATCCCTAAATAGGGATGCCCTTGAAACAACCATTGCTCAAGGAATTAAACTCATCACCAATGGAGCCGAGCCTAATCATGAAGAAAGTGGCGAGATGGTGGCTGCCCTTGAGTCATTGCCATAATATGTTCGTAAGCCTCCAATCCCAATTCCAATTCTCGTTTCTATTAACAAGTTGTTACCTTCAGTGATTTAGGCACCCACTCTCAAGCTTAAACCGTTACCGAATCATTTGAAGTATGTCTTCTTAGGAGATAAAGAGACTTTGCCCATCATAGTCTCTTCATCACTCATAGCAGTGGAGGAGGAAAAACTAGTTCGGGTGTTGCAAGAGTACAAAACAGCCATTGGATGGACTTTAGCCGACATCAAGGGAATTAGTCCTACAACATGCATGCATTGCATACTTCTAGAGGAATGGCCTAAACCAATTCAAGAGGCTCAACGCCGACTCAACCCTCCAATAATGGAAGTTGTGAAAAAGGAGATCATCAAGCTTCTTGATTGTGGAGTTATTTATCCAATTTCGGATAGTTGTTGGGTTTCACCAGTTCAAGTCGTTCCAAAGAAATCTGGAGTCACTGTGGTGAAGAATGAAAAGAACGAACTTATGCCCATTCACATCCAAACAGGTTGGAGAGTTTGCATTGATTATAGGAAGCTCAATGCCACCACAAGGAAATATCATTTTCCTATGCCATTCATTGATCAAATGCTTGAAAGGTTAGATGGCCATTCGTTTTATTGCTTTCTTGATGGTTATTCAGGATATAATCAGATTGTTATAGCTCCAGATGGACAAGTAAAAGTATGATCAAGAAAATACTACTTTTACTTGTCCATTTAATACTTTTGCTTATCGTCGAATGCCATTTGGTTTATATAATACACCAGCCAGTTTTTAGAGATGCATGGTAAGTATCTTTTTAGATTATGTTGAGAAGATTATTGAAGTTTTCATGGACGACTTTAGTGTCTTTGGTGACACTTTTGATGATTGTTTAGCTAATCTCACTTTGGTATTGAAACCCTGCATCGAAACTAACCTTATTTTAAATTAGGAAAAATGTCACTTTATGGTAAAACAAGGCATAGTTTTAGGTCATATAGTTTCAGAAAAGGGAATTAAAGTTGATAAATCAAAAATAGACCTTGTATGCCACTTACCCTCTCCCACTTCGGTGAGAGAGGTTCGTTCTTTCCTTGGACATGCAGGATTCTATAGACGTTTTATCAAAGACTTCTCGAAGATTTCAACACCCTTGTGCCAACTCTTACAGAAGGATGTGCCGTTTGTGTTCGATGACGAATGTGAGAAGGTATTCAATCACCTCAAGAAGATGCTCACTTCGGCACGTATCATTGTTCCACCAAATTGGAGCCTTCCTTTTGAGCTTATGTGTGATGCTTCAGACTATGCATTAGGGGCCGTTTTGGGACAAAGAAAGGAAAAGCAGCCGCATGTCATTTACTTTGCTTTTCGGACCTTGAATGACGCTCAATTGAAATACTCCACCAATAAAAAAGAACTCCTTACTGTTGTGTTTACTTTAGATAAGTTTCGTTCTTATTTACTTGGAACTAAAGTCATAATCTATTATGATCATGCAGCTTTGAAATACTTACTCACGAAGAAAGAAGCCAAGCCAAGGCTTATTCGCTAGATGCTTATTCTCCAAGAGTTCGACATCAAAATCTAAGACAAGAAAGGAAGTGAGAATGTAGTGGCTGACCACTTGAGTCGTTTGGTACATAATGAAGAGCCATTACCTATCCCAGAGGCATTCCCAGACGAGCAGCTACTGACCATTAAGGTAAGTGAGCCATGGTATGCTGATATTGTGAATTATATTGTGTCTAAACAAGTTCCAATCACCATAACTAGGCACCAACATGATAAACTTAAGAAAATGGCATGGTTTTATGTATGGGATAACCCTTATTTGTGGAACTATTGCCCTGATCAAATTATTCGTAAATGTGTGCATGATTCTGAGTTTAATTCAATCTTCGTAAATGTGTGCATGACTCTGAGTTTAATTCAATCTTAACTTTCTATCACACTTATGCATGTGGAGGTCACTTTGGTACACAACGCACAACACTTAAGGTTTTAGAATGTGGATTTTATTGGCCTACTATATTTAAGGATGCTAGAATTTTTTACATAACCTGTGATCGTTGTCAAAGAACAGGGAATATAGGTTCAAAATGCCAAATGTCGCAAACCCCAATCTACTCTGTCGAAATTTTTGATGTTTGGGGCTTCGATTTCATGGGTCTTTTTCCTTCATCTCATGGTTTTAGTTATATTTTACTTGCGGTTGATTATGTATCAAAATGGGTGGAAGCAAAAGCCACCAGTACTAATGATTCCAAAGTGGTTGCAGATTTTGTCAAAACTAACATATTTGCCAGATTTGGAATGCCAAGAGTACTTATAAGTGATGGGGGTTCCCATTTTTGCAATCAAACCATAGAGGCGCTGCTTAAGAAGTATAATGTCACACATAGGGTCTCAACACTCTATCATCCTCAAACAAGTGGGCAAGCTGAGGTGTCTAATCGAGAAATCAAGCAGATTTTGGAAAAGACAGTTGGACAAACTCAGAAAGATTGGAGCTTGTGCTTGAATGATGCCTTGTGGGCATATCGTACAACTTACAAAACACCAATTGGGATGTCTCCCTTTTGGCTCATTTATAAGAAACCATGCCATCTTCTAGTTGAGTTGGAACACCAAGCTCATTGGGCAATCAAGACGTTCAATATGGACATAGATGTGGCTGGTCTTCATAGGAAACTTCAATTGAATGAGCTTGAGGAGATTCAAAACAAGGCTTATAAGAACGCTCATATCTACAAAGAGAAAACGAAGGCATTCCATGACAAGATGATTCATAGCAAGACGTTCTCTATAGGGCAGAAAATGTTGCTTTCCAACTCTCGCCTTCGATTGTTTCTAGGTAAGTTACGTTCTAAATGGATTGGTCCTTTTGTTGTTACTAATGTCTTTCCCTATGGTGCAGCCCAAATTCAAAGTTTAAAGATAAGACATGAATTCAAAGTGAATAGACATCGTTTGAAGCCGTACTATGAGTATTTTGAGGAGCATGTCGTGGAGGATGTACCCCTCCATGCCGTTGGCTCTAGTAAAGCTTAAATGGAGGTATCGTCCGACTGGAAGACGTTAAAGCAAGAGCTTTTTGGGAGGCAACCCATGTGTTCGAATAAAGAGACCTTGGACTCTCCGGCTCCTACAACCAGATTTACGTTCTCTAACCTTTCTCTTTATTATTTTTACTTTGACATGCTTGTCTTGTTTGCTAGTCATCTTTTGTTGCTTTCTTGTTTAAGTTTTATTTTGAAACATTGAGGACAATGTTTGGTTTAAGTATGGGGGTAAACAGATTGCTTTTCATGGCTTAGCTTTGAATTACATCACCTGTCACTTCTAATGTTGTTACCCACTGTTTTTAAGTGTCTTATTGTGTTTTAAAGTTAAAATTCGAAATTTTTGAAAAAAAAGATTTGAAAAAAAATCCAAAATTGTGAGAAAAATACCAAAAAGAGTCATTTTTGTTGTTTGTTTGCGTCTTAGGATACCTTCCAACACAATGATGAGGATTTGGTTTTTAATTGCATGACTATTAAAGAAAGTTACAAACATGGGTGGAAGTTTGATATGCTCTTTGGTTAATACTTGGTTGTAGTTGTCATTAATGAATTCACATGTAATCACAAAGAGAAAAAAAAATTAGTTTGATTGCATATAACAAAGACAAGATGAAGTGTTCAGTTACCATCAAAGCCAAAAAGCCTTATTCCTTTGCATATGTTTTGTAGGTTTAAACCCTTTGAGCCTTATTTAGCCTATTTTTCTTTGTTAGCCTGCATTATCCTTACCTAGCCTAGCATAGGAATATCCATACCATTGTTCTTAGAGAATAGTGGAGCATGACTTGTTGGGAATTCCTTTTGATCTACAATTTGCAGAAAAAACAAGTGTGGGGGAAGAATTTGTCTTTGTGAATTGGTGAAGTAGTACTTTTTGTGTTTAAAAAAAACGTGGAAAAAGAAAGAGAAAAGAAAAGTTGTGCAGAAAAAGAAAAAAAAAGGTTGAAAAGAAGTGAGAATGAGCTCACAAGTGTTGGTTGTTGAAGAAGGGGTCCAAAAATGTGAATCTGACCCTAAAGTTGTATGAATCTCCCCTTTGTGTTTAAAGTTAGATGTTGCAATCAAAAGTTGAATTCTAAGTGTTGATTTCATTACTTTGCTTACTATCACTTTAAGAACCTTTATTTATCTTTAACCTTTCTTTGTTAGCCATTACAACCCTAGACTTTTATCTTGGTTATTATGTGTTTGAATATGTGGAGTTTGAAATTGGTACGAGCATATGGAATCCCTAGTTCTCGCTTCTAAGTAATGTCATTCCGTTCATGAGATCATATACATGTTATATTAATAATTCCAGAAAGTGTCTTCTTTGTTATAACATATGTAAGTGCTAGTCTACATGTTTACATCAATCTTCTCACATATACTTAGTATAGGTAGTATAGTCAGAAAATCTGTGTGAAAATAGAGAGTATATCCGGTGAGGAATTGAGTAAATTCTCTAAGGCATGTTACTACATTCAAAATGTTGTTTTAATTGATTAAATGCGATCTAGTGAGTGGTTGCGATTAAGTATAAGCTCGAGGGTAAGGATAGCTAAAATCTATGGGAGTAGTGATTTTTAACATGTCATGTTTAATTGGAAATCCCTAAGGCAATTGTTGGAAGGTTTAGGTTGTGTTTTGCTTTCTTTGTTTTGCTCGGGGACTAGCAAAAGCTAATGTGGGGGAATTTGATAGGAGCATATTTATGCGACTTTGTTAGCTTGTTTCTTTGCATTTAGTGAGTTAGTTTCTATTTATTATAGTGATTTAAGCTATTTTCGTGTGTTTGTAGGTCCAATTGGCAAAGGTGACAAGAAAGAGCAATTTGGAGCATTTTGGAGCAGTTTTGGACTTGGAATAGATAACATACGTATGGAGCATAATGGATGGATGTTTTTGAAGTTTAAATAGGCTAGGAATGTGCTACAAATCTGGAGAACTTAAATCAAGATTTGGAAGATAAGGAATCAGCTAAAAAGAATGAACATTATCTTAACCAACCTTATCTTATCTAACATTATCCAAACTAACCTTATCTTATCTTATCCTATCCTAATATTATCGTACCTTATTTCCAGCTGCAAGGGGCTTCCTTTACATATTAAACCACCTTTTATCTGGTTCTAGAAGCCCTAAAATTGTGCTGAACTACCCTATCCATTTCCCCCTAGGAATCTGCCGCACCTAGTCCTTCTCCTCTACAACTTTGTGTCGTGCCCTAGCCCTGTAAATACACACCTTTGCCGCAATTTTCAGAGAGAGCTTTAGAGAGATATTCAGAGATAAAAAAAATATAAAAAGTGCAGCAGCTTTACAAGGAAGGAAGGAGAGAGAGCTTTGTGCCGTGACCTACCATCCAAGGCCATTGGAGTGCTGGAGCGTTTATGGGTTCTTTCTATCCTTAGTTTTAGTTTAATGTTTAAATTAGATTGGTTTCGTTTAATTGCAAACATGTGGAGCTAATTTCGTTTTAGCTAGAGATGAATTCAAAACCATGGTCATATGTTTTATATGAATTGATTACATCTAGTTATTGTTTCATAAAACCGTGAATGCAATTTACTTATCTATTTTATTAAAAACTTGTTCTTGTGTGTTGATTAAGGATGCATACTTAGTTTGCATGCAGGGATTTGATGCTAGAATATAAGAGAATTTCACCTAATCGTTATGAACTTATATTTACAAGTAGAAGTCACTAATCATGATTGTGTTAAGTAAATTCCTGGCAAGAGTATCATGCAGTTCATAGTTATGAATGTCTTGTCAATGCTTATGATTTTCACATAACTGAATGATCTTTGATATGTATCTCTATCATGCAGTTCATATAGGGAACTTGATAAGAATAATTTGGTTGCATCGCAGAGTCCAATTCAATGAACTTAGAAAAATCTGAGAGTTAATTTGTGCAGTTCACGATTAATTTGGGGCATTGTCATTCATGGTTTATAGGAATAATAACTGAAAATTGATTTGTATGCATATGGTTCATGTATGGAGAAGAATCCTCTAGCTAGTCTTTCACCCCCTTCATTCACCCCAATTTCGTATCAATTAGTTTGTTTTCTGCAAGTTACTTAGTTTTAGTTTTAAATTTCGTTCAAACCTGTCCCCCGTTAGTATTTTGAGTCAAGTTTAGAATTCGTCCAAATCACCATTTAGGTCATGTTCCATGTCAATTTGTTTGTTTTGTGCTATTTGGAATTAGTCTGGTCAGTTTTGAGTCACTAGAGTCTAGTTTTGTGTTTTTGGGTTAAATTTGTGTATATTAGCATCCCTCATAATCTCTGGCCTAGAACGATCCCTACTTGCTCATACTACAACTGTTTAAAAAGGGTTTAATTTGTGTGTTAGTTCTTACCACATCAGGCTTAAGCCTTAGGGCTTAAGGGTTAGGCCTTAGGGCTTATGGGTTAGGGGTTAGGCCTTAGGGCTTGAGGGTTAGGGGTTAGGGGTTATGCCTTAAGGCTTAGGGGTTACGGATTAGGCCTTAGGGCTTAGAGGTTAGGCTTTAGGGCTTGGGACTTAAGGGTAAAGAATTAGGCCTTAGGCCTTAGGGGCTAGGGGTTAGGCCTTATGCCTTAGGGCTTATAGGTTAGGCCTTAGGGTTGGGGGTTAGGGGTTAGGCCTTAGGGCTTAGCGCTTAGAGCATTTCTCTGTGATGTGCATTGTGCTTTTTTTTGTCTACATTTGTGGTGGCTTGTGGTCTTAGGGTTTTAACTGCTTTTTATTTTTATTTTTTTGTGAATTTCAGGTTATCCAGAACTATTTTCCATTCGTTTGCACCATGGTGGGGAGCTCAGTCATGAATACTAATGTGGGGGGAAAGTTGCATATATAGATATTGCGACAATGTCACTCCCTGTGATAGATGATAAGGTGGAAGCTATAGGATATAGTGAGATGTTCATGAACTATTACTACAAGATTCCCAACATGGACATTAGTAATGGTTTGAAACCCATTCAGAGTGATGCTGATGTACAAAAGATATTTAACTTTGTTCCAAAGGCTCGGGTGTTAGACATTTACATTGAAGAATTGTCTACAGAAAAAGCCCTTACCAAGGAACAACAATTTATGGAGTCTATGGAGTGCATCGGTCCAAGCACAGTGATTATTGAGGAATTAAGTGAGGAGGAAAGGAATGTTATGGCAATAACTTGTAAACCAAGAAAAAAAAAATGTTGCTAACTATTGAAGGCCCTCAGATAATAAGAGGGTGTCTATTGAAGAAGAGGTGACTATTATGTGCTCGAATAAAGGTTTTCACCAAGAAGAGGTGGCTAGTACAAGTGTGGCTGAGGAAGAAGATGTACAAGTTGCTCAAGAATGAGGTTTACAAGATGTACAAGTTGATGAACAAGGTGTACAAGTTGGTGAAGAAGGTAAAGAGAAACACGGTGATACATTCTTTGATGTACCAGTCGATTTTGAAGGAGACCAAGAAGAAAGTGAAGAAGAAGATCCTCAAGAAGACAGTGACTTTGTAGAGAGTGACTATGGGAGTGATGAAGATAACCTAACTTTTGCTAAGTATAATGTGATTCAGGAAGCAGATAAGGTGCAAAAGACAGGAAGACAATCTCAGAAAATGACAAAAAGGCAAATTGAGGAAAGCAATGAAGGAGAAGAAAAGCAAGTAAATGAAAGAGAAGGGGAGAGACAAGAAAAAGAAGGACAAGAAGAGGTTGAAGAAGCTGGAGATAGGGAGGTGAATCTAGTTCATAAACCATATTATAATTCTGATGATCTGGAAAGTGTACATTCTGAAGATGAGAAATAAGGCAAAAAAAAATAGCATTATCCAGAGTTTAATAAGAAAACGGATATGAAGAATCCACAGCTTGTTCTAGGGCTTATTTTCAGAGACAGTGTGCAATTCAAGAGAGCCGTCATGATGTATTCCTTAGTGAATGGATATGGGGAAATTCATTTCCATAGGAATGAGAAGTTGAAGATTACTGCCAAGTGTGCAAATGACTACCCTTGGATGTGTGCTGTTGGCAAGATGCATGAATCAAGCAGCATTCAAATCAAGACAATCCTTGATCACCACACCTATGGGAGGACTTGGGCAAATAATAACATGAATGCTTCTTTACTCACATATTTGTACTTTGATCGAATAAAGCTCAATCCCACATGGCTTGTCGAATTTTTTTATCCACTGTGGAATCCAAGTGGAATCATGGGTGTACAAAGATGAATGCTTATAGGGCATTAAATAAAGCTTTCAAGATTATTGAAGCGAAACATGCATACCAAGATACAAAACTGTGGGATTTTGCTAAGGAAGTAAGAAAGACTAACCCTAGAAGCACCATGAAGTTGAACTTGGATGGGGAAAGGTTTCCGAGGATATATGTTTGCTTAGAGGCATGCAAAGAAGGCTTTAAGATGGGATGTGGACCTTTGATAGATTTAGATGGGTGCCACTTAAAGGTTTTACATGGAGAGCAGTTACTGTGTACTGTTGGCATTGACCCAAATGATGAGACATGGGTTATTGCTTATGCAATGGTGGAAATGGAAAAAAAATATAGCTTGAGTTTGGTTCTTACAACTGTTAGTTGATAGAAAACCAAAATAGGTGGACATTTATCAGTGACAAGCAAAATGGGCTAATTCCAGCATTTCAAAAAGTCATCCCCAGATGCCACCATCGATTCTGTGTGAGGCATTTGTACACAAACTATAAGAATTTGTTCAAGGGGAAAACTTTGAAAGATGCTCTATGGGCAGTTGCCAAAACAACAACAGTTCCACACTTCAAAAAGGCAATAAAGAAGGTTAAAAAGTTAGATGAGAATGCCTACAATTGGCTAGTGAAGAAGCCTGCAACTCAATGGAGCAAGTCCCACTTTGAAACCTATCCAAGTGTGACATATTGCTCAATAATTTGTGTTAATCATTTAATGCAGTCATACTAGTGCCAAGGCAAAGGCCTATTATAACTATGCTGCAAATGATTCAGACTATTTTGATGAAGAGAATTCAAATGAGGTGAGGTATAATGATGAAGCAAGTAGGAGATCTATGCCCTAAGATTAGGAAGAAGTTGGAGGAAGTCAAACTCTTAAGTGGCAGGTACATTGCACAATGGTCAGGAAGGACCAAATTTCAAGTGGATGCTGGAGGTGGGGAACAATATGTGGTGGACTTGGTTGAAAAGACATGCTCTTGTAGGAAGTATGACTTGACGGGAATACCTTGCAACCATGCAATATCTGCCATCCATTTCAAGAGAGAAAAACCTAAGGATTATGTGGATGCATACTATTCAAAGGCACGGTACTTGGAAATTTATTCTCACTTAATAATGTCAATGAATGGTATGTCATTGTGGGGGGATATTGAAAACCCACCAATCTTGCCTCCATTATATACAAGGCAACCTGGAAGACCAAGGAAGAAAAGAAACAAATAAGCTACTGATTTGGAGAAAGATGGTGAACAAACTCCCACCAACCCACTAAATAATCCTTAAGGTCCTCTTAAGCCACTTAAGCTAGGAAGGAAAGGGCAAGGTGCTTTGAAGTGTACTATATGCAAGCAAGAAGGACATAATTCACAGACCCATCATCAACATATTCCTCCAAGGGACAAACAGGTAATATTTTGTACTTTCTTTAATCCTTTAATCCTTTAATGAATGACTTTATACTTTGTTATAGGTATCCACAGCAACCCAAGGGAGAGCATCATCATCAGCCGAAGCTACACCTAAAAAGAGAACAAGGAAATCTAAGGTACAAAACCTAATCCTCTCCTTTGTAGCTTACAACAGTAAGTTTAGTTTAGAACCTTGCTTTGCATCTGACCTTTTTGTAATGAACATTGAAATTAGGCATCACAATCAGGGGACGGTTCATCTGCAAATCCTGAAGCTCATTCATCGAGAGCCACCAAGCAGAGAAAGACAAGGCAAACCAAGACCTAAAGATGCCAGAAATTGTAACAAATTACTGTTTTTCACTTCATGTTTTATGTGCAATAGGAACTAAAATTATGGTACATGGGTTCTGGAATTAGACGTCACAAACATTGAATTTCTTTTGGTTTTTTGAACTGATTTGTATCCCTGAAAATGCATTGTTTTGCACTGTTTTGATAGATGGATTTCAGTATGTTTTTTAGATCAGTGCACTGTGCATTTTGGGATATTTAAGGATGTCTAATGCATATCTTTGTAAATGTTAGATGGAACAATGATGCTATATGAATTACAGTTCATCTTTTGGTCTTTGCAAATGTTTTGTTTCAAGTGGACTTTGTGTTCATTTTTGGTTATATCATGTGTATATATAGGATTTGTGTTGATATGGGATCATATGTTTATGTACAATTTCCATTTGGTTTGGTTTTTTTAGGTTGTATTATCTTCCAAAATTGGACCCCTTTAAAAAAAAAATAATAATTTTTTTTTTTTGCTGACGTGGACGATTTTTGGCAGGAAATAATTATGTTGAAAAAAATTCTAGTTTTTTTTTAAATGACGTGGAAATTAATTTGGCAGGAAATCTACGTGGCAGACCACCTGGAAGTTCATATGTGGAGATGGTGGGACGTGGCATACGCCACGTCATCATATAACCGACAATTGACAGCCAATGTAACGGAGGTATCACATTGCAACAAATTCGTAAGCAAAGGTATGACATTGAAACTTTTTAAAGATGAGGTATGAAACTGTTAACGACCCAATAGTTGAAGTAGTTTTTTGTAATTTACCCAATTAATAATGAAAAGTGTGGTAAGCGTTCTAGAATATGAGTCTGGTGGATAAATTAACAAGATTTTTGAAGCCAATGTTGTAGGATTTTGTAATAAAAGTAAATGAAAAAGGTCCTAAAATCTAAATGGTTAACTTGTGGATGTTTGGCATTGACCATTGGAGCTCCTCTTCCTTCGGCTGAGAAATCGTCCCATCAAACACTATGTAGTGATAAATACCTCCATTTTTCCCTAAAGAAGCTGACAGAGTTAATTATTTACCCTCACTTACAAAATGAATGCACAAGCCATCAAGGTATCATTCCCAAATTTAAATCTGTTTACTTTTTACATTTTTCTTGTAGTTTCTTCGTTTTCTGAATCAAAATTCATGCAGGAAATTAAGGAGATAAATGCACAACATGCCAAGGAGGCAAAGGTGAACACAGTAGACATTCGTTCATCGGCGGGGCAAGGCCAAGAACAAAGGAATGTGCAGGTGGTTCACCAGCCACATCCCTCCGCCAAGACAAATACCAGTGGTGGAGTCCTGACTACTGCAGCTGCTGCGGTGGCAAACACCCTTCAATCCGCCAAGGATGCCATCTCCAAAAATGACTAGCGCATTACATTTCGGATATCAAGACGTATATGATCCCAGATTTTGTCATGAATTGTCTATGTGTATTACTAAAAATTGTCAAAATAGTTCGTCTTTTTTTTAATTGGCAATTTTGATTTGTCATCTGTACAATGAAAATGTTATGATATGCATGTATGATATTGTTTTGGCTTAGATTTCATGGTTTCCCACAATACTTTAAACAGTTTCAGGCAATGCTAACAAATTTGTTACTCTCCTTGGAAGCTTTCACATTGCGTCAAGAACATGTTTTCAATAATTTGTTGTTCGGAATTGTGAATCAAATACAATCGGATCCCGCTACGCTCAAAACACGAGCGCTTCGGGGTAGAATATCTTGTCATATGGCAGATACTGTCCGGTAAAAATCTGTCGTATAGACGATATTTGATCAACCCTACTAAGCCATGCATGTAACACCAGCTTGATATTTTCTTACGACGTTCCCTATGATGGACGATATTCGATTAACAAATCCTATGTACATTCTTTATCCCGCCAACTTGCGACGTGAATGTATAAATATCACAGCCATCCCCAACCGGGCACAGTTGCAGCATGAAATTATTCCCAAACGATTTAAAGCAATCGTTCTTTTAATTATATTATTCTCCTCCAATCTTCATCAGAATCCAGTTCTCTTGCTTCTTTATTCCTTTGCTGCCACTATCATATATACAAAAAATACAAATATAATGTAACAGAATCCTTATTTATTATAATTTATATAACACACGAATGTCTATTTCTTTTACTTCCCTGTGCTTCTGATCAGCCCTTGAACTATCATACCATTTCTCGGCCGCCTGATTTATCGCTCCGGTAACTCGATCCTTCAGTTTATTCTTCCTGTAAATGATATAGTAAAAAGGATTTTCTTTTCTTTAGGGTATTCGTTTTCTTGGTCTCATGTTATTTTAACTACCTCTTTGGTTAAAGAAGTTGGAAGCAATGGGCATGGCAATCTCAAGGCTGGTGAAGATCCTCTTTGCAAGGAAAGAGATGAGAATACTAATGGTGGGTCTCGACGCTGCCGGAAAAACCACCATCCTCTACAAGCTCAAACTTGGAGAGGTTGTCACTACCATACCCACAATTGGTATATACTACTGATTATTGATTACCCCAACTTTTGCTTGTTATTTTTTCTTCAACTTACTATATATAAGTATATACACCTATTCGAATTTGGATGAAGAAAATTGTTTTCGATTGATTTTTCTGTAACCAGGGTTTAATGTGGAAACTGTTGAGTACAAAAATGTGAGCTTCACTGTTTGGGATGTCGGAGGACAAGACAAGGTACTAGCAAGTTCTTTTTTTCTTTTTTCTTTTTTTTTTTTTTAGACTAATTTTTCTGGCGTAGTGCTATGTCGGTTTCACAAACAATCTGGTAGAGAGTGCACATGTACAAGTTTTGTGTCTCTAATAATATGTCGTAGTACTGATCTTTGTGACTGCAACGTAGATTATTTTGAATCCTTTTCTGAGAGAGATTTTGTTATGCTAGAGAAGCTAGAAATTAAAGGAAGGGTTAAGCTGATGGGAATTTGTTCTTGATGAACTATATGTTATATGTAGATTCGACCGCTATGGAGACATTATTTTCAGAACACTCAAGGTCTTATCTTTGTGCTGGATAGCAATGACAGAGACAGAGTTTTGGAAGCAAGAGATGAGCTCCATCGAATGCTCAGTGAGGTCAGTTTCCTTGTTCCTCGTATAAATTGCTATCAAAACAATTTAATTTTGTACTACACAAATATCAATTAATCCCTTTTTTCCTTTGTTGTTGCAGGATGAACTCCGTGACGCAACACTGCTTGTATTTGCCAACAAGCAAGATCTTCCGAATGCCATGAATGTCTCTGAGATCACTGATAAGCTTGGCCTGCATTCACTCCGGCAACGCAGATGGTAACAACTAAAACGTGCTACATACATATATTATAGCATCTAGATGATAAGGAATGTTGTCAAACTTGAAGATTCAAACGTGACTTGGCCTTACCGAAGGGGTCTTGATTTATGATCTGACATGACTTAACTTAGCCTTACCATGGTTTTAACATATCTGTACAGGTACATTCAGGCTGCTAGTGCCACATCCGGCCAAGGGCTCTATGAGGGCCTCGATTGGCTATCCAGCAACATCTCAAACAAGGCATGATAGATAAACCTGTCTCCTTTAATGTCTTGTTTCTTATTTACCAGATGTTGGATATTGTATTTTTACTGGATATAGTACTTCATTACTTATATATTTTTACTATACAATGTATTTTTACTGGATGATGTCTTTGCATATATACAGACATAACCCATCCAGTCTACCAAGGCTTTGGCTTCCTAATTATGTTTAGAATGACCCAAAGGAGCAAGACTTTATGTTGTAATAATATTGTTAAACATATTGGTATATAATATATGTAGTCGTTGGTTTGTTAATAATTATTGACACTAAAAAAAATTAAAAAAATCATCACGCGCTTCTCCCTTCTAAATATAATGGTATTAGAGATCGCTATGGCAATTCACATGAGAGTAAAAACCCGGCATCTTCAGCTATGTCGTATGTCACTTCATTTGGTAAATCAAGAATACTTAAACCAAAAAAGAGAGCACGGGGTGTAAACTCATAGACCTTAAATCTCTATATACTTCCATTTACGCAATCTTTCTTGAGTATTATTTCTGACTCGATCACGAAGAGTCCTTCACGTACACCGATGTTTCATTCGCCCCCGTTAGATTTAGATTAGTGTCTTTTATCTTTTTAGGGTATAACTTGACCCAGCATTTCCAAGCAGAACCCAAACAAAATCAGGACTGAGACAAAGCACCAACCAACATGACATTTCTCTTGAACTCCTATAACTTTGTCTCTTGGGCATACCAAAAGGAAAAGGAAACATCATGTTAACAGATTAGATAGTTTGATAAAGTAAATTTATTTAAGAAAAAACGCAAAGTTACAAAAGGAATAGGTGGAAGATGAAAGGCTCTCTGAAATTTCCTAGTGAATTAACACTGAGGACTTGCCATTTCAGCAGCTTGATAGGAACAACTGATACACTTTTGACAATATCTCCAAAAAGATACAGAAACAAAACTTTCTAGCTGTTCTCAACAACTCTTCACTTCTGTTCTCTCACATGTCTTGTGTACTATTTCCTCTATATAATTTCTTATTAACCACAATACATATGTTCATAGTTTACCTTGTGATTTACTCCTTTTTATATGCTAAACCAGATTAATTGGCTTAATTAGCAGATGGAAATTTGGAAAATGGTTAATGACGCAGCTCTTGCTCCCGCCTTTTGTTTCGCACACTTGCAAGGTTTGCTGTTTAACGTTTAGGGTCAGTTATGTCTTCGACATAGTCGTTTAGGATTAAGCGAGATTACCTTCCTCTGCAAAGGTGTTTATCCAAACACAACGAATAGAGGAAGGTAAAGCTGCAAGACGCTCATCAATAAAATGGATGACAGATAACAAACAGGAGCCATTTTCTTCCTGGTGAGTACATTTGGTGGATGCACAACATTTATGCATGATAATTGCAAACCAGTGAAGCCACTTTTCCTTTAATTTTTGCTCATTCGGAGAGGACCCTACTCTCGTACTCCTAGTCCTAGTCTGAGTTGGATGCAGGAGTAGTTTCTTGTCACTACCTCTGCAGTGTTCCCAACTTAATCCACTTTATCTAATACGTTAAACGTCTTTCAACATTCTTATTAGTTATCGCTACAATTACGCACTGGAAGATTAGAAGGAGAAGTGAGAAGGTTGCCAGCATTTCTTAATATTTCTTTCTTTTGTATCAAGGATAAAACCCTCCCTCCGACCCCGCACCCACGGGCAATCTCAGAAGTTGTGTACCCCATAAGACATAAAGCATACCCCGGTCACACGAACCACTACCACAACTCGGGTGAGGTCAAATCGAGACTCGCAGAATCGATTGAGAATTGACCGACTAATGTCTAGATTTACAATTCATCCTATTGTCGTCTTACCAACCAATTTCCACTAGATCGCTAAGCGCCAGGTATTAGGTGGTAATCACCAAACAAAACTAGTACATCTGACCTTAACATTAATTTTGTCATTGAAAACCCAAATCAATTTACAACCAACATGACAGTGCCTGTCCATCAGCTTTTAACTGGTCAGCCCTCTTCGGCATCAAAAATATAATAATGTTTGGTGAGACAGACAGATACATCATACGCAATTTTCGTCTTGACAACGTGGTGCTTGACATCTGGCTTGGAAGAATAACATGGGAAACAAAACAACATAAGTAGTTGTTTCTTGTTGGTCATACGTTTTAAGTTAAAATTTCTGACCTTTGACTCTTCAAATTTCACAGTATGAACGACTATGGCACGCCTAATGTTAAGGACAGAAGGAAAGAGGGGATGGAAAGATGCAAACAAGTTCTGCTTTGTTTGCTCTAATTTTTTGAAGAATCTTATGCTGTCATGAATCATCATCTTCTTCTTTCTCTGCATGCGACTTATGATACGAAAGGGATGTAGCTAAAACTTTAACCAACCTAAAGAAAAAAAAGGCAGGGGAGGACCACAGACAACAAGAACAAAGATATCTCCTCACAAATTCCCATATCCTGCAAAAACCCAATTTCAAACCTTTCCTTACAGAAATTTATGGATGATAATTCACGAACACAATTCGTTGTTACTAAACATAAGACGCTTGTTACTATAAACATTGACATATTCTACTTGCTGATCGCATTTGCAGTCGACAGATGGAGTCTGACTTACAAATGTAACTAGGCATTCAGATGCATAAATGTACAAACAAGGTGCTTAAACTTGCAGACTACGGACTTCTACAAACATATGAAGACGACGTTACTAAAATGCTCATTGCCTGCTTGCAACAGTTACATTGCTCATTCTCTTAGCAATTGACTATTTGCAGATTTGAAATAAGGTGTTGGATCAAAATCAAAACAAAGAAGGGAGTAGGTGTTGACAGGGGACTTAAAAAGACCGACAGAGAAACAAATCAATGTGGCTAAATAACCTTACGATAAGTTGTTTAGACTTCAGAGTCTGATCTGTTAGAAAACAACTGGAAGCCCATCAACAACTATGCATTGTTTGAACATGTACTAAGATCA